CAGTACATATATAAGTATATTTTTATATAAATACATATTAAACATCCATGACAGGAGTACAAATGCTCGTATTCATCACACAAACATCTGTTCCCACCGGGATTCGAACCTAGGACCTCTCGAGTAGGCGAAACCCGGCGTACAAACCACTCGGCCATGGAGGTCGATATTAGGAGGATATAAGTATAGATATCGCTGAATGATAAACTAATGCATTTTTCTTTCAAACGTTTGATAGTAAATTTGTAAAACTGTCTCACTTGACTGTTGTCTGGACTGAAATGGAGTGGTGCCGCCTTAGTTCAACTAGAAGAAGATCGCTGGTTCGTATCCTTTTTGGGACCGCTGGTTCATATATTTTTTCACTATTATGAGAAAATCTCCTTCAACAACAAAGCTTCGCGGTATCTTATTTTTTGTGTTTGGAATCTTGGCATTTCTCCATGGGCTTCAATATCTTTTAAAGTAATATTGGCTAACTCCTCTCTGCGGCAAGCTCCAACAACGCCAAAAATCAGAGCAACGTAAAAAAAAAAACGATTTGATTCATATAAATAATGTATTGACTGTATTTTGCGATTTTGTAAACTGAACACTAAAGAAAAATGTAGATATGTATACTTATTAATAAATTACCTTTGTGGCTAAATAACAATCATCGGGAGCTTCTTTCAAAAACCTTTCCACGTCATTCGATGTTAATATTTTCGACTTTTTACTGGTAAACCCGTCTGATTGTCGTTTTAAGAAAGAATTTAATTTTGGATATTGACTTATATCCACGTTGTTCCTTATTTTCAGCATACTTTTTATCATCGAAAACCTTGACCATAACGTAGAAGGTTTTAATTTTGCTGAGAGTTCGGAAAAGTATGCCAACATAACATTTTCTGAAAAACTATTTGCTTTTTTCTCTTCTTTCCACGCAATAAATTCATCGTATGTAGATATGTAGCGAATTTTTGACTTTTCCGGTAAAATGTTCTCCGAAGCATTTTGTGCAATTATACTGAGTTCCGGTGGAGTTAATTCAAAAAAATTTAGGTCGAAATTACTCATTTTGTGTAAAAAACAACTAAACTCGCAAAGAAAATTTCGGAAAATGGCGCCAACCGTAGAATGTAAGCAGTTTTTTTTCACCCATTCTGGTAGGCAAAGGGAACTGCCCATACAGCCAAGTCTTTAGTACTTAGTATTTTTTATTATAAGAAATGAAATTGAAATTTAATGATATGAAATGAACTGAAACCTTACCTAACTCATTCAATCAATTAATTAATTCTGATATTGGACAAATTAGTATAGGTAGCTTCTTTTTAAAAACAAATAAACCTATTTGCATGAATCGCAAAAACTTCTATGATTTTTTTTAGTTAAAACTTCATGGTTGTTTTTTTTAATAGAAATAATTTTGACAGCTGGGAAAGAAAACGCACGAGTTCGGGAAAGGCAAAAAAAAAGCACGAGTCTGAAATAGCCCAGGGGGCCAATCGCCTAACGGAAATGCTTTGGAAAACGCTAACGCTTACGATTTTATTTTGTTATTCCTAGCCGCCTGAGGTATTCAAATGCCTCGCGCTCTTTCTTTTTCTTCTGCATTGGTAATAACAATATTAAAAAAAATGAGCGTGAGGTATTCGAAAACCTCAGGGGGCTAGAAATAACAAAATGAAATCGTAAGCGATAGCGTTTTCCAAAGCAATCCAGTTAGACGATTGGCCCCCAGATCCCGAACGCTACACGTCCCTGCAATACGCCACTTTTTGAGCAACTGTATTAAAAAGTCTTATTTAAAATCAGCTGGTTAGAAGACTTTTGATCTTTTCACACATTCATATCGAGAACCTTTTAGTTATGTATGGTCTCCTGGTACTTTTTCCGGAATATAATGTTCTTGTTTTATTAAACTAAAACGAGGAAATTACCTAAATTAAGCATGAATGCTGTAACAACTACAGCATTCATGCTTAATTTAGGTAAATAACAATCAAAAATTACAAAATTAGCATGTAGCTAGAAATGAAATTCTTATTTTTTTGTTAACCTATTTACGGTAGTAACACGGGCAACAAAGGCTAGTAACGGCCTCTTTACAATCTTTACATTTTGAGGTTGCAATAATACCTAAATATTTGCAGTAGTTCCTTATGAAAGAGAAGTCAAGCTATAACACAAGTTTAAAAATTCATGGAACTAATTGTAAAAAAAACATTTTTTAAGGTTACAGTAGTCCTAAGATGAGATGGCGTGGGTGGTTAGCTCATTTAGCTGCGATCGTTGAAGCTAAGCAACTTTCGCAGTGGTCGGTCATTGGATAGGCGACCAAAAATCTTCTATCTCGAGTTCCTCCGTGCTTCGGAAGGCACGTTAAGCCGTTGGTCCCGGCTGCATCTGCAGTCGTTAGCACTCGCCAATCCGCACTGGGCCCGCGTGGTGAGTCATGACCCAATCTCCCTACTCCAACCATAGGGAAGGCCTGTGACCCAGCAGTGGGGAAATTAATAGGCTGATGATGATGATGAGAGTAGTTCCATGTGGAAGTTGAACACGTTACATGTTCACGTTTATACTGTATTTACTCATAAAAGTTTGTGTTAAGTGATTTAATTGCAAAAAAATACATTACCAACACAACAAAAATACCATTAATAAGCGACTGTAGTGCGAATTCGAGGTGTTAGATAGTTTATGATAATTATCTTAACAAGTAAAAAAAACATTCAATTTTCCTTTTTTTTATTTGTGACCTTAACCTCCTCCTCAACATCCCTAGACCTCTTAAATTTCAAATATTGGATTTGATATCGAATACACATCAACAAAAACAATAAAAAAAAAACTATGTTTTAGGTGAGCTCTAAATATTAAATTTTGCGGACATCACAAAATACAGACAGACACGAACCGCGTTATAGTTTCCAGAGGTGTATGATAGTAAAGTATCAAACACATAACTAGAAATCTGCCAAATCAATAGAACCATTTTCAGGTGATTCTTCGTCATAAATGTGGAATCGATTTCAGCATCTCGTATTAATGCCACACAAAACGGTAAAACCGTATCAGAAGTATATGAAGTTTTTCTTATACGTTGCAACCATTTTCGATTCTAAGAAGCTTAAATTGAATTCTACCTGTATTTTCAATCACTTGGATTAGATTTACATAATATATATTTTGCCTTTTATGAAGGGATTCTATATCCAAAGGGCGTCACCAGGTTGTGTCTCAAGAACCGTAAAAGACATTCGAAATTTTCTCACAATTGGTATTTCCATTGCAACAAAGCCCCGGAATGGAAATACGAAATTCCATTTCCGTAATAACATTTTTCTTTTCGGTAAAAAGGTACATTATGCGTCTTTTTTCTACAGTCTGAAAATCACACTACAAATCTTTCTCTCAAATTTCTTAAATAAACGCGAAAAATGGTGAAGTGAGAATGGCTAAGGCAGCAGTTTACTGTTAGGCTAACCAGAAATCTTCGTATCTAAATTCGACAACGGCGTAAAACAGACAAATTGCGTTCAAAGTCTCAGTTGGACAACTGTAAAATTGCAGTTTAAATTTCGTCATCAAACATCGTACTTAAATGCACTTTAGTAGTTGGCTGCCTGTTCGAATGCAACTCGTATGTTAGAAGTTTCCTATAATTTACCAGATCTTTTCTTTTAGATAACTAAGTTCAACAGTGTATTAGGATAATAGCTGTGGTATACCCATAAAGAAAATGAGAATTTAATAACGTTTACTTCATAGGCTTATCAATAAAATATTTAGCTTTTAGAAGCTTGCATTTTGCTGTATGGATAGCACTTGTGTTGATTCTTTTCAATTATCTTGTAATATGTGAAATTTGCGAAATAAAATGGCTGAAAAACATTATTTGTTGATTTTACCAATTATTTATTTGATTCCTCTCCGCCCCGAATAGGAGATTGACTATCAAAATATCGGAAAAATTACGGATTAAATATATGCAGATTTTTTTAAAGGTATTCCGCCATCTTCCACGATTAACGGCTCATGAAGAAAAGCATATTTTAATGGGTATTTTATAGAAAAGGTGGTTGTGCTTAATATGAGGCTTTATCAGATAAATCCCAATCGACAGATATGGTTTTTATTTATTAACGTTTTTCTTTTCGTATCTTATAATATTTATGATATGGTGAAATAGTTAAAGCTTAACTACATGTAGTGTATAATAAGTGTATTTAGCAAGTAGACAAGAAAGAGTAAGACATATAATAGTAAATATGTAATCTAAAAGGAATAAATAAATAGTTTTATTAGTTTAATAAATGTTTCAATCAATGGCTCCTACGACAACCGTGGAGAGCAGAGTTTGTTGGAAGTTAAGTTGTATGGGATTTGCTAACACGTACACGATCCCAATTTTTAATGCAATTCCAAGTGTGTCAAGAGTAAGTCCGCAGGCAGGTCTCCCGAGAGATGTAAGATCGAGGGAGGTTTAAGCGAATACGTGCTAAGACAATCGTTAGGGTTAAATAACCCGCAACTTGCGATGGAACTGTGCGCTTACTTTAATGGCTTAAATACTCCATTCTAATGGGTTAAGATCGACCGAAAATATTTATTTTTCATACAAGAAACATTCACTGCAGTGCTAAAGGTTAATTTATTAACTTGGTAATAATAATAATAAATCTATATCTACAGCAAGACTACTGAGGACGACTAAAGGCTATTTTCTAATATATATATATATTACTTATGTGGTAAATATATCTAATAATAATAATTAAAAATTATAAGAAATGTTTTTATAAATCGAATTATAGATTTATTAAGAATAAAGTAATTTAAAATAATGTTCCCCAAAATAAAAGCAGCAATTAGGGCGTCCTTATTATTGCTTTGTAATGTATTTTCTTCGTAATAAAAAATCTATTTTTAGGGAAGAGATTTTAGCAATCAACTGATTTATTAAGAAAACATAACTGATCTAAAGAAAATATAACTAGAAAAAATTCCACGCGGTTCGGTGCTTGTTGTTTTTTCTAGTTATATTTTCTTTAGATTTAAACATCAAGCAGTTACATGCTTTAAAATAATAAAAATTATAAACATAACTGATATTGAGTACAGCAAAACTCCAAAGACTTAATTATTAATTTTTGATATTGTTAGGAGAGTTAGGTCCACACGGCTCTAGACTTACGGCGTTTGTTGTTTTTAGGGTTTAATGAAATTTATGTGGGGTCCTGGTGGGTAACGAGCTAAAAGGAAAAATGTAACGGAGGAAAAATATCATTCTACTTTAATTAGTAACATAATACGGTAAGGTTGAAATTACTTATACAACAAACTAAGGACACTTGCAATAAATTTCTTTAGTTAGGAAAATAATCGTAAAGTCAAATTGTATTTTAGTACTTACTCAGTTGTATTTGTCGTTAATTGAGATTTTCCATTATGTTATATTATTTTCCTTTTTATCTGACTTGATGTAAACTTTCTCCCTGCATATTTTCAAGACTTAAGCTACTATAGAGCTTAAAAAAATACTTTTCATCGGCTTTGTAACGTGGTACGTTTTCAATTTTTTCCAAAGAAAAGAAACTAAAGGCATCACTGATTCTGCTTTTCAATTTCGCCAAAATATCAAGTTTAACTTTTTTATTGTACCGCAACCTTTTGATGGCCGAACAATCGCTCAAAGTTTCTAACGCCTTTTGGTGTTGGGTACAAAAATTGTATTTCATTGTATTGGTTTCAGCGTTCTTCATTTCTTGTTTCTTCTCCATATTAGTATTAGAGACGATAGTACTGCAGTCAAAATAATCGACACGTTCGGTGCTTGTTGTTTGATTAAGCTTTTTTGATAATCTTTGGCATTGGGTCGAGACATGACGACGTTTTACTGGACCGTTCCCTACTTGAGTGACTGTTGATTTAGTTTTGGGTTCCGTTAATTTGCTGCTATTTGGCACAGCTGACAGACCACATCCGGTTTTTTTTTTACCATCTAAATTTCTACTACTTGTTTTTGTAAAGCTACACGATGGTTTGGCACATGGATTATTGGAACCATCTTCATTGGTCACGGTTGGTGCATGTTTTTTCAAAATATGCTTTTGTATGGCATCAATTAAATGCGCCGATGGGTCATTTACGAGTTGCCCTATGCCCCAAAGATATCCTGACATTGACCAACAATAAGTAAACTTGAAAATATAACAAACAATATTTCTTACAAAATTAAAATTCAACTGTACAATTGTAGTTTCGGCCGTGACAAGCACAGACTACTTTGATACTATATATGAGTATACTATAAGTCCAAAAATTACTACCCTTTATTTGTGTGAATGAGTTTTAATGTCGTATGACGTTTTTTTTTATTTATTTTATTGGTTAAGTTCTCCCTTTTCAGGGAAGGCAACGGGAACAATGCCCATACAGCCTAGTCTTAAGTTAAATTATTCTGTTTTTCTTTTTACATTAGAATGTCGGTGTGACGCATTCTAATGTTTCTTGAAGTGTTTGGCACGAAATGTATCGAGCTGGCTTTTGCGATAAGCTTCTGTGAGGTAGTCAATACTACAATAAAATTCTCACGTCCACTTGACCGGAATAGCGTATATTTTGACGATTCTGCTAATTCTTCAGTTACGCAGACAGTTGTACCACAAAATCACACCAATTTTATTTCACAATTTCCACTAAGAACGAATTTAAGAATAATTAAAATAAGACGCCAACCACACTCGATGAAATCTCTTTTTTTTATTTAGCTTCGTAAAAAGCCAAGTCTTTTCTTTTTTTTCGTTGTATTATGGCAAAGGCAAAGTTCTGTTAAATATATCATTTAACAGAACTTTCCGCCAGTCACTCCATAGATAACAAATCAAGGATTGTAGAGTCTGTGCGGAAAGAGAATGGGATTTAGATTGGAGGGCGCTGTAGTGCTTTTCTACCGTATTTGTAAGCTTTTACAATTTTTAGACATGATTAAATACAAAAAAACCGCAAGAAATCACAACAAACAACAATTAGTAATGAGTATTAATACAAAACTTTGACGTTTTACATATTGCTGGGTTTGATTGCCAAATAAAAATCTTAATGTTAGTTCCGTTTTTCGCCACGCCCATTCTCTTTCAGCACAGACTCTACTTGCTTGATGTAGGAAGTTGTACTAATATACATGAGAACGTTAAGTAAAACTTTTAATTATTTATTACAACAATAACTATATTTTATTATTCATACATATAAAAATAATCACAGAAGTTTAAAACAACTTAATGTCTAAATAAATTATAACATTTTTTTTTATTTTTTTTTTAACATTCTGATGACAGGTAACATCGGAAATGCAAAAGTGAAATATTATATACTTCGGGACACATCTGTCAGCCGACTAAGTGTTAAAAGTTTTCACGGTCTGTTGCAAAAATATATGTTTGTGTTTGAGCAATAGTTATAAAAGTTAACGAAAAGATGGTTAATAAATCAGCTTGAAAACTGGTTCGGTAATAACTTTTTGCTCAATGCAATATTAAATTTTAGTTAGAGACCGTCAAAACTTCCGGAAGTGTATATTTATCACAGACTTAGAATCTAAAGATTGACAGAATGAGGAAATGAGATACCATGCCCTTGCGACAATACTACAAGGTACTGTTAGAGCAAAACTCATTGGTACTCTTTGGTTTATAAAGAATGTACTCGTAGATGTGATGTCATTGTTAATAGTTTTTTAAGACACTTGGTTACTATGATTTTGTTTAGACAGGTTTTCTTTTCGGTTGTATTTATGTTATATTATTATTAAAAGTATTGTTTCTTCAACACTGCGTCTCAATTCAACATAAACAGATTATGGGCCCAGTGTCTTTGTGAAGAAATAATAAATTAAAGATGGAACTTTCCAAAATACAAATATCTAAGTTCGACGGCACTAACTGGTCACAATGGAAGTACCGTATTTCTGCCCTATTAAGAGGTATGGATGGTCTAATGGATATAGTGCTGGGAAATAAACGTAAGCCTGAGAAGCCTGCAGTCAGTGCTGGAGATGCTACTGCTGCTGTGGCGATGGTAAACTATGAAAAGGAACTGGGAGAATATTTAAGATTGGAAAGTACTCCCGGAAATGAGGATTCTAGAGCCACATTAACACGCCACTTCACCGTACCGATGACCTGACAGAAGTCAGTATTGGCGAAATCGAGATTGCTCTTGGACAGCTTAAAAATGGAAAAGCCCCTGGAGAGGATGGTGTTACAACAGAACTCTTGAAGGCTGGAGGTAAACCCGTACTGAGGGAGCTCCAAAAGCTTTTTAACACTGTCCTGTTCGAAGGGAGAACTCCGGAGGCGTGGAGTAGGAGTGTGGTCGCCTTGTTCTTTAAAAAGGGGGACAAGACCCTACTTAAGAACTATCGACCCATATCCCTTCTAAGCCACGTCTATAAGCTGTTCTCAAGAGTGATCGCGAACCGTCTTGCGCGAAGATTTGATGACTTCCAACCACCGGAACAGGCTGGGTTTCGGAGCGGATACGGCACCATAGACCACATCCACACAGTGCGGCAGATTAAACAGAAGACTGAGGAGTACAATCAGCCCCTGTGCCTAGCATTTGTGGACTATGAGAAGGCCTTTGACTCGATTGAAATCTGGTCTGTCCTGGAGTCCCTGCAGCGTTGCAAAGTCGACTCGGGCAGACATTGCAGTTAGGTAGAAACAACTTTGAGGACGAGGTGAATAGAAGAGTTCAGCTAGGTTGGGCAGCGTTTGGGAAGCTACGTCAAGTCCTGACATCGTCGATCCCACAGTGCCTAAAGACGAAAGTCTTCAATCAGTGCGTCCTACCTGTGATGACATACGGAGCCGAGACGTGGACACTGACGGCACGGCTGATCCACAGGTTCAAAGTCGCTCAACGCGCTATGGAAAGGGCTATGCTCGGCGTTTCTCTGAAAGATCGCATCAGAAATGAGGTAATCCGACAGAGAACCAGAGTTATCGACATAGCCCACCGGATTAGCAAGTTGAAGTGGCAGTGAGCTGGCCATATTTGCCGAAGAACCGATAACCGTTGGGGTAGACGAGTTCTGGAGTGGAGACCGCGTCTAGGCAAACGTAGTGTAGGACGTCCTCAGGCACGATGGAGTGACGACTTGCGCAAGGTGGCTGGCAGGAGCTGGATGCGAGTAGCCCAAGATCGATCTGAGTGGCGTGCATTTGGAGAGGCCTATGTCCAGCAGTGGACTATGATAGGCTGTTGATGATGATGATGATGATGGAAAGTACTGCTTTACTGTCAATAACTAATAATATAACCGATGAAATGCTTGACAAGGTAATCAGGTTCACAAATCCGAAAGATGTGTGGGATGAACTCCAACGTCTTTATGATCGTATAAATGACGATCGATTGTATGACGTTTGCATGGAATTCTTTCAACTCAAGATGGATACTGTCGATGATATGGCGACTCATATTTCTAAAGTTAAGAACTAATGGCACAAACTAAATCAGGAGCTGATAAAAAATAATGAAGGAAAGGAATTGCCGGAATAACTTTTGATCTGCAAGATTTTAGATACACTGCCACAGGAATACTTTGGATTTCAATCGAGTTGGCTGATGATGTCAAAGAAAGACAGGACTGTGGATAACCTGACAGGCCAGCTGTGTGCTCATGAAAGAGCGTTGATGACGACTTCCAAGGAAGAATGTTGTGTATCAAGATTTAGCGGTGAAGCACTAGCATTGAAGCAAAAGAAAACTAACAAGAAAAGAATCAAGGCCTTTAAATCTCACATCTGTGGTGAGACTGGACATTTCAAGAAGGACTGTCCTAAAAAGGTACACGGAAAACCTGGTGCTAGCACTAACATGACGGTTATACTAGTCAATCCAACAGAAAGCAACGTAGATCGTAACGAATGGTACGTGGACAACGGAGCCACACACCATGTCACGATGAGAAGCGACCTGTTCCAGGAATTTACACGCTTTACGGAACCGCATACGGTGACAACAGCAGATGGGAAGATAATAGAGGCTGTAGGCAAAGGTTCGATTCAAATGAAGACGAAAAAGGAAAAGTTCATAATGAAAGACGTGTGGTACGTTCCGAAGATTACGAAGAATCTTTTTTCGGTGCTGGCGGCACACGATGTTAATTCAAAGAGTGTGTTTAAATCAAGAGTTACCACATGTTCATTGAGAATAGAAGGAAAACTGTGCGTAACTGGAACCAGGCGTAGGCAAGGTGGTTTGTACAAGTTGAATTGTAGTCCTATTCAAGCAAACGAAGGAATCGTTAGCATGGTGAATGGAGTAGACACACTACAGTTGTACCATGAACGCATGGGGCATCAACAGAAACGCCAAGTCAAAAAAATATTAGAGCAAGAACTCGGTATTAAAACCAAGGATGGTGGTAATTTATGTGAAGGTTGTATCTTTGGCAAGTCACATAGACGTAACTTTGGTTTTAGGGAAAAGGCTACAAGTCCAGGTGAACGAATTCACACGGATGTTTGTGGCCCGTTCCCTCCAAGTTGCTCTAAGTCCCGGTATTTCGTTCTCTTTAAAGATGAATTTAGTCGTTTTCGTTATGTATATATAATGAAGCATAAATCGGAAGTACCAGAGATTTTGCGTTTAATGTTAGCAGAGGCAAAAGTAGCAGGTCACACGATTAAGGAACTTCTCAGCGATAATGGCGAAGAATTCGATAATAAAGAGGTTCGAAAGGAACTGGAGAAGTATGGGATACATCAACGACTCGTGATGCCTTATACCCCGGAACAAAACGGTTGTAGCGAAAGGGATAACCGTACAATAGTCGGAATGGTTAGAGCTATGATGAATGCACACGAAGAGCTTCCGCAAGTGTTATGGGCAGAGCTGACACTAACAGCTGTTTACATATAAAACAGAACTGGCCCTACAACATAAATCTCCATTTGAACTGTGGTAGAACATAAATCTCCATTTGAACTGTGGTAGAACATAAATCTCCATTTGAACTGTGGTATGGCAAGAAACCTAAGATCAAACACTTGAGAATTATAGGCTCAACGTGCTACGTGCATATTCCGAATCAGAAAAGGAAGAAAATGCAGAAGAAGGCACAAAAATGCATACTAATCGGCTACGATCATGATGATGGCTATAGAATATATCACAAATAGACAAACACATTAATGAGGTCTAGAGATGTCACCTTTGACGAGAAACCTCTAGAGTCTAGGCTAGAAATCATTGATTCAGATGATTCAAACGAGATCGGTGAAATGGAAATTCCTTTACGATTCCGTAAGGAATGTGAACCGGCTCCTACAACAATCATTACAGAAATGAGGGGCGATACACCTGTGATTGAAAATGACAATTGCGGTCCATTTGACAACCAAGGTGTTGCTGTGCCTCCTGTCATTAGTAGTGATGAAGCTGAATTTGATGATACACGGCCAGATATGTCAGAACACAATGAATCTATTGAA